AGGCAACCAGGGACAGTGGGCAGTTAAGCTGGGTGGGGCTGCAAGGGTGGGGGGAAAAAAGTGTTTTTAAGGAAGTGTAGAAATGAAGATGGTAGGCACGGTGATCACCGTTCCAGTGGGTTGAGTCACCAGCTGAGGCCCAGAGAGGAATTAGCAAAAGGGGAATAACGCGTTTGGATTTGAGAGTGTGAAGGAGAGGCTCTTTAATACTTATGAACTTCAGCTTCAATGATACCATTTGCAATTTGGCTATGGTGCCAATTTAAATCTGTGCCAATGAGAAATGAGAAATGTTTCTTAGATGATGGGTAAACATCAATGGTTCTCAAGCACTCCTCATAAACCAGATGAAAGAGATAGTCTATCCCATTCTACCAAATAAGACACCATAGACATCCTATCCTATGACTGTAATCACTAACTTGGGGAATCATGAAGTTCTCTGCACATACCCAAGGTGAACTTCAAAACTCCACTGCTATATAAAATGAGGGTGAATAGTACAGACATCAGCCAGGACACAACATTAAGGAATGGTGTTATCTTTATTTATCATACTCATGAAGATTGTTGAATGCCAGTATCATATGATTATACTTGGGCTCTAAGAAGCTTAATCCTGCAGAACTACATAAGATGGATGAGAGAAAGGAGGTTGGTAGAAAGGAAAGCAGTTGACATGGTAGAAGAGCCATGCAGCCAAGGCCTGTGATAAAAATCTTCTGATGATCCCCAAGTGAGGCTGTACGTACAATCGGAGGGGGCCACTGAGACAGGGCTGAAAGACGCTCACCACGCAGCTTTAACGAAGGTTCCACAAGGAATGTGGTATCTATAAATAAGTAACGGAGGTGACATTGGCAAGATGGAGAAGGGACAGGCTCCCCACGCCAGGATTCTTGGGCTTCTCTGGTGGCTCAGCTGGTAAAGAATCCACCTATAATGCAGGAGACCTGGGTTTGATCCCTGAGTTGGGAAAATCCCCTGGAGGAGGGCATGGCAACCCACTCCAGAACTCTTGCCTGGAGAATCCCCATGGACAGAGGAGCCTGGCGGGCTACAGTCCATGAGGTTGCAAAGAGTCAGACACGACTGAGCGATTAAGCGCGGCACAGCACAACCCTAGTCCCCTCACAGAAACTCCAACTTTGCAACCATCTATAGAAGGGTTGTTAGCATCCCTGAACCTAGGAGTAAGGCTGTAGCATCACAACAGAACACAAAAACTGAAAAAAAAAAAAAACCTACACTAAGAAGGGCAGGGGCTTCCCTGGTGGGTCAGTGCTAGAGAATCTACATGTCATGCAGGTTCAATCTCTGATCAGGGAATATCCCACATTCGGCAGGCAGAGCAACTAAGCCTGTCTGACACCACTACCGAGCCTGTGCTCTAGCGCCCTCAAGCCCCAAGTACTGAGCCCACTCGCCACAAATACCGAAGTCTGCCCCCTGAGCCTGTGCTCAGCAAAAAAGTGAAAGTGAAGGCCACCCAGTCGTGTCTGACTCTTGTGACAGCATGGACTATACAGTCCATGGAATTCTCCAGGCCAGAATACCGCAGTGGGTAGCCTTTCCTTTCTCCAAGGGATCTTCCCCACCCAGGGATCGAACCCACATCTCCCACATTGCAGGCAGACTCTTTACCAGCTGAGCTACAAGGGAAGCCCAAGAATACTGAAGTAGGTAGCCTATCCCTTCTCCAGGGTCTCCTGCAATTGCAGGCAGACTCTTCACCCACTGAGCTATGACGGAAGCCCACAAGCCACTGCAATGAGAAGCCTGCGAACCACAGCTAGAGAGCAGCCCCTGCTCATCACAACTAGAGAAAAGCCCACACAGTAACGAAGACCCAGGACTGTCAAAAATAAATTTTAGAAGACTTATTTTTTAAACAAAGAAGAGTGGGGAGAACAGCTTCACTTCATTCTCGATAAACGAATTTATGTTTTAAAGGATCATGTAATGACTTATAAATAGTACAGATAAATGGCATTATTTTCTTATGCATTAAGAACATTAATTTCTTAAAAGATAAGCAGAATGAACTGCCCTATCCTTGTTTTGAAATTCTTTCTCTCTCTCAGATTCTGAGTTTATTTATTTCAGATGGCCACGTAAGCAGTCACAAGAGCTTAAGGCAGGGTGGTGGCCTGGCAGAGAGGAAAAGGCTAAATGGAAGGCATGTAACGTGGGAGCCTAGAGAGGACTTGTGAGCTCCTGGAGGATGGGAGTCAAGAGTGACTGCAGTTTCTGGTCCTGGTCATTAGGATAATGAGGGTGTTATTAACAGAAGAGGAAGTCAGGAGAGGAAGAGGCATGGATGAGCCAGCTTCCAAGTTGGGTGTGAAGGATTTTTTGTATTCTTTCTGTCTATCTGGCTTAAATAAGCCAAACTAGCACCACTGACAATGCTGCTCCAGGATGGGAGTGAAGGAGAGGCAGAACCTCAGCTCCATGCTCGGCCTTGGACCATGGAAACGCAAACGGTCAGAGAAGCACCTATGCCATTCTGAGGAGAATCACAAACTCCTTTAGATAACTGACCACCTTCATAGCCTGCTTCCAGACTTGTCTCTGAGCTTAGCTCACAGCAGGTGTTACATACACGTCACTGATCGTCTCCAGGGAGGCCTCTGCAGAGCAGAGGAGGGTGGGGGTTTGATGCTACGACCAGACTTAGAGTGCCTTCAATCTGTTCCCCATTCTGAAGACCAAAGATATCCACTGCCCCAATCCACATATCCCTGCCAAAAAAAAAAAAAAGAATCTAACCCATACAACTAGGAAGAAATAAAGACTAACGGGGAACTTTGAGATCATCTCAGGCAATCGACTGTTTTTAAAAACAAAGAACCCAAGACCTACAGAGGTGAAAGCACAAAAGTACTTATGGGCAGGCAGAATTCCCCCATCTCTTCTTCCTATCACCTGAGAGCAAGTCAAGAAGGATGCTCACCTCCTAGGGTACAGCAATTTCACCTGCAGTGGTTGAGATAAATACCACAGGAAGGCACCTGGCACTATTTGCTTTAATTGCTATAGGAGAGAAAAGCCTGGAGGTGGATATGGAAAGAGGAGGCACATTCTCTAAGCTTGTTTTCACTGAGGTTTCCTGTATCTTTTAACAATGGCTCACATTACTAATTATATTAGTCAACTAGCCACTTTTAAGAGCAACAGTATCAATACATATCTTTCTTTATATTGAATCTGAAATCTGTATACAAGGTTCACTTTAAAAATAAAAAAGAGGAAGGAAATCAAGATCATATGTTCACTCTGAAATGTTTTGTGTGTTTTGGGCAGAAGAAAAATAGAAGCCCTTGTTGTAACTCATTTCTCATTTTGTAACATACATTTAAGAGGATCTATAAATCATAAAACTCTCAAGAGTCAGAAATTAAATTTCAAAAACAGCACTGGCTGTCTTCACCAGGTAGCATCATCAAAAGACTCATTATGGCTAGAATTTATGGGAGAAAAACATAGATGAATCAGATTTTATTAAGAGAAAAATAGACAATGATATAAAGCTCAATTAACACAGAGGGCTTTTAAATTCACTTTGAATAAAAATTTTCTACTCACATAAAATTTTGAAGAAGACACAGTTATCCATCTACCTTAATCTCATCTTAGTAGCCTAAGGAAAGTTTCTAAACACAAAAGTGTTAAAAAAAAAAAATCTATATCTACAGAGACAATTGACTAAGGCTCAGATCCTTATTCTGATGTCTGTTCAGTGATTACAAGAAGTCTATCTAGAAATTCCTCAATCTGCACTGAAAACCACAGTTTTGCTTGAGTTATGAGACACAGAAAAAATATGCATATATTTTAAGCCAAAGCTATAAGAACTTTCAAGTATTCCTAAGAAGCACAGTTACCAGTACAAGACCACATGGAAAGTAATTTAACAATATCTGGGTCCTCTCTGGTGGTTCTGATGTTAAAGAGTCTGCCTGACAATGCAAGAAGACTTGGATTTGATCCCTGGGTTGGGAAGATGCCTTGGAGAAGGGAATGGCAACCCACTCCAGTATTCTTGCCTGGAGAATTCCATGGACAGAGGAGTGCTGAGGGCTACAGTCCATGGGGTCACAAAGAGTCAGACATGACTGAGTGACTAACACACACATGTCAAAATCACAAATCCACATATTATCCTCTGACCCAAAAATTCTATTTCTGAAAGTGTCTTATAATAAACTTGCACACAAACAAGGTTATTTACAGAAGCAGTATTTGTTAATAGAAGAGTAGAAATAGTCCAAATGCCACTAAGAGAACACTTGCTAAATAAATCATGACAGTTATACAGTGGAATACTATGTATTGGCAGAGATGAATGATAAAGTGCTCTTTGTACTGTATGAAAAATATTCAAAACATTAAACAAAAAAATTCAAGAAACAAAAATGTGCGTTATATGCCACATTCTAAATTAAAAGGCAAGCAGGGAAAAGAATAATTTATGTTTGTCTCTAAAGACACTTTTTTAGAGATAAAGAAATTTAAAATAAAGAAATTTTGGAAGGATACATAAAAAAACTGGGTAGGTAAAGAATGAAATATGAGGGAGGTATTTTACTGTGAGCTTTTTATTCTCTTCAATTTTTGAGCTATGTGACATTACCTACTCAAAAAATTAAGTAATTTTCAAATAGCAAGAGCTATCTACTTAATGTTCAAATCACTTTGTTAAATAAAATGCTTTGTTATAACGATGACATATTTTAGCATATTCTCAAGCAAACCTGACCTTTGAATCCTTAAGTGAAAATGAAATTAGATGATTCTTGTCCTTGCTTCTTTAAAAGAAGTGTTTTAATATACCTTGCATAGATGAAATATGTTGCGTACTTTGGTCTAAAAGACAATCCCATTTCAATGTTTTCAAGTTAAATCTGAATTTGTGACTGATATAAAAACCAGCCAAATTTCAGCAAAGCAATTAAAATTTCAGAACTTTCCTATCTCACCACTGAAAACACCCATACCTTTGTCCGAACGGTTTTTCCTCCCATGGGGAATTCGATTAAGGCAAAGAATATACCCATCTGCTGTCACAACCTGATGTTCCTCACTAGGGTATCCCCAGTGCAAGATAATTTCACTCTGTGGAGCAAAGGAGAAGACAAAAAGTCAATGACCAAGTTTTATTTAAGAAACCAATCATTACTGAAATTTTAGTCTGCTCAATCTAGTAGCCAATCTCCATCACAAGAGTAAATCCTCCACTTGTTTTGCCCCTGCATTCTACTGAGAGATGCTTAGTTAAACCTTGGTTTCTCATTCTAACATGTTCTGCACCAAGCATGCCTTATTTTACCATAGCTTTGGGCTTCTTTGGTTCCATCATGGCTCCCAGGCACAAATAAACATGTCTTTCTTTCTTTTCTAAATATGCCAGTTAATTCTGTAATCTACAATTTTCCTTGTTTTAAGAGATCCCATCCTGGGAAATGAAGGGTAAAAAGCATTAATCTGTTTTTAATCAATGGAACAATAAATCTACACTAGAATGTCAAGGCAGAGTTGAACAAGATAAAATGATACAGACCCAGAGCAAATCACTATCTTATACATCTTAAACTAATGCAATGCTATATGTCCATTACATCTCAATAAAACCAGGGGGAAAGATGAAAAGAAATAATGATCAAATTCATATAAAGAAAGATCTATGGGGCAATTAGGTTTCCTTTCTTTCTTTTTTTTTTTTATCGAGGGGATGCTCAAACTACTGCACAATTGCACTCATCTCACACACTAGCAAAGTAATGCTCAAAATTCTCCCAGCCAGGCTTCAGCAGTACCTGAACTATGAACTGGGTTTAGATGTTCAAGCTGGGTTTAGAAAAGGCAGAGGAACCAGAGATCAAATTGCCAACATCCACTGGATCATCGAAAAAGCAAAAGAGTTTCAGAAAAACATCTACTTATGCTTTATTGACTATGCCAAAGCCTTTGACTGTGTGAATCACAATAAACTGTGGAAAATTCTGAAAGAGATGGGACTACCAGACCATCTGACCTGCCTCCTGAGAAATCTGTATGCAGGTCAAGAAGCAACAGTTAGAATTAGACATCGAACAACAGACTAGTTCCAAATAGGGAAAGGAGTACGTCAAGGCTGTATATTGTCACCCTGCTTATTTAACTTATATGCAGAGTACATCATGAAAAACACCAGACTGGATGAAGCACAAGCTGGGATCAAGATTGCCAGGAGAAATATCAATAACCTCAGATATGCAGATGACACCACCCTTACGGCAGAAAGCGAAGAAGAACTAAAGAGCCTCTTGATGAAAGTGAAAGAGGACAGTGAAAAAGTTGGCTTAAAGCTCAACATTCAGAAAACGAAGATCACAGCATCTGGTCCCATCACTTCATGGCAAATAGATGGGGAAACAGTGGAATAGTGGAAACAGTGACTGACTTTATTTTGGGGGGCTCCAAAATCACTGCAGATGGTGACTGCAGCCATGAAATTAAAAGACGCTTACTCTTTGGAAGAAAAGTTATGACCAACTTAGACAGCATACAGCATATTAAAAAGCAGAGAGAGACATTACTTTGCCGACAAAGGTCCACCTAGTTTAAGCTATGGTTTTTCCAGTAGTCATGTATGGATGTGAGGGTTGGACTACAAAGAAAGCTGAGTGCCAAAGGATTGATGCTTTTGAACTATGGTGTTGAAGACTCTTGAGAGTCCATAGGACTGCAAGGAGATCCAACCAGTCCATCATAAAGGAAATCAGTCCTGAATATTCATTGGAAGGACTGATGCTGAAGCTCAAACTCCAATACTTTGGCCACCTGATGGGAAGAACCGACTCATTTGAAAAGACCCTGATGCTGGGAAAGATTGAAGGTGGGAGGAGAAGGGGACGACAGAGGATGAGATAGTTGGATGGCATCACTGACTCAATGGACATGAGTTTGAATAAACTCAGGAAGTTGCTGCAGTCCATGGGGTCGCAAAGAGTCGGACGCGACTGAGCGGCTGAACTGAAATGATAGTAGATGTTTAATATAAGTTTCAGGTATACAACACAGTGATTCATAATTTTTAAAGGTTAAATTCCATTTATAGTTATTATAAAATATTGTCTATATTCCCTGTGCTGTACAATATATCCTCGAAGCTTCTTTATTTTACATATAGCAGTTTGTACCACTTAATCCATCGGGCAATTGTTAATTAGGAGCTCAGTGGCATACAGCTAACTCAGTTATCCAGAACACAATGTAAATAAGCGCTCGTGATTCTCTCTACCACGAATACTTGAAAGGATTTAAGTTTATCATTCTTACAGTAAAAAATTAAAAAGGAAAAATGTTTTTAATTTTAAAAAGCTTAAAAAGAAAAAATCAGGAACAAGAGATAAAACGTGACCTTAAGACCCTGATAACAGGCTGCACTCTCTTGACTGACTATAAATTTATCAAAATCTCCAAAGCCGCCTGATTCTTCAGTTGTGTCACTGTTTTAAACCTGCTGTTTTCTGTAGCAATCTATAATTTCCTGATATTTTATGCCTAAATAAAGTATCTCCAGATTTAATTGTCTGCTTAAGATTAATAACTCTGAAATGCTTTCATTACTTGAGGGATTATTTTTGCTTATTTGTTCTAATAAAATTGTTTTCAGATACTTTGATTTTTGGACTGAACTATGAACACTGTCATCTGTCCTTGTTCAACACATTCAGTATTAACATTCTTCGGAAGTTTTAACACTTTTTATTGTTGTTTAGACAAATTCAGTGAGATTTAAAAATGAAATGAATGTCTAAAAAATCACTTATCTTATTAAGTATGATTAACTACTTATGATTAAGTACTGATTTCAGCAGTAAAAAGAGGTTTGTAAAATACACATTACCTAGTGGGTAAAGTCCAGCTAACTGAACTGGAGATTCAGAGAACATGAAAAACATAATGAGATATAAAGAGAATGCAGTTTGTAGCTTCATGTAGCTATGTAATTGGATTTCAGAAAATAACAATGATCACAGATGTGTTTTAAGAAGGAGATGCCTTTAAGAAACTTACCACATTCATATTTGTTTCGGGATCCAGAGGTGTCTGCTTCCATCCAGATGCCTGGGAAGGCAGGGTCCCAAGGACCAAACAGACCAGCAAACCCCAGAGCCACATTTTCATTCTGTATAAGACAGTCTGTTGTTATTTGCCTACACCAATTTTACTACACAAAATTACATTGGTAAATAATGCTCCCATACAAGGTTCTTAACCAGTTTACGTCAGGTAAAAGGCAAAGGACAAATACGGAACAAATGACTCAAGCCACACCTCAAAGAAAAAATTCAGGAATTCTCTTTAACTAGGAAACCTCCCACCCACCACCCTCAGTTAATTTGTGACACATGGAACCCACAACACCCACCCACCTCCTCACCACAAAGTTAAACGTAATGTTCCTGGAGCAAGAGCGGAAGAGAGGACTCAGAAGAGAATATGTTGAGAAAAGGGAAAACCACCAAAATTCCAGAGCCTGTTAGCCTCCCACCTTTTCCTCTCTAACTGTGATTTAAATGTTCTGAAGTTCAGCTGATATTAGCTCCTATTCTCGCTAGTTATTCACTTCCCTTCTTGCACAAAGTTACACATTAGGATTTGAATTTGTCACCCAAGGGGAAAAAAGTGAAATGAAAAAGATAAGAGAGCCTGCACAAGAAATAGAAGGAAAGAAGATTGCCCCTCTCCGCTTCTGAGAGCCTCTCCAGGGATCAACACAGACTATGTAGTTCTAACAGTGATGGCACAAAATCACAGCACAGCAAAGACCTCAGGGATGGATGCTGAAGGGAAATGAAGTGACTCTTCCAAGGACACGCCGATGATGAGAGGCAAAAGTGGGACTACAGTCCCAGCCTCCCACATATTTTAAAATAAATATAGTCCCTTAAAGATATGAATGATGGCAGGCGAATGGACAAGGAAGCTGTGGCACATATACACAATGGAATATTACTCAGCTATAAAAAGGAACACATGTGAGTCAGTTCTAATGAGGTGAATGAAGCTGAATACAGACCAAAGTGAAGTCGCTCAGTCGTGTCCAGCTCTTTGCGACCGCATGGACTGTAGCCTTACCAGGCTCCTCGGTCCATGGGATTTTCCAGGCAAGAGTACTGGAGTGGGTTACCATTTCCTTCTCCAGGGGATCTTCCCGACCCAGGGATCAAACCCGGGTCTCCCACATTGTAGGCAGACGCTTTACCGTCTGAGCCAACAGGGAAGCCCACACAGGCCAAAGTAAATCAGAAAGAGAAACACCAATACTAATACAATATTAACGCGTAAGTATGGAATTTAGAAAGACGGAAACAGCGACCCTATATGCAAGACAGAAAAAGAGGCACAGATGTAAAGAACAGACTTTCGGACTATGTGGGAGACGGAGAGACTGGGATGATTTGAGAGAATAACATAGAAACATGTATATTACCATATGTAAGACCAGTGCAAGTTAGATGCATGAAGCAGGGCACTCAAAGCCAGTGCTCTGGACAACCCAGAGGGATGGGGTACGGAGGGAGGTGGGAGGGGGATTCATGATGGGGGGACACACGTGCACCCGTGGCTGATTCATGTCTATGTATGGCAAAAACCATCACAATATTGTAAAGCAAGTATCCTCCAATTAAAATAAATTAATTAATTTTTTAAAAAGATATGGATGAGTGTATCCCAATACAAAGACTTGTATAAAGATGTTCGTAACAGTTCTATAGGCAATAGCCAAACACGAGAAAAACCCAAATGCCCTGAACGGGTGAATGGATCAATATATTATGATATATACTTACTATTCAGCAATAAAAAGGAATGTACATAAATAACATGGATGAATCTCAAAATAATTATGGTGAGTGAAAGTCCACAGTCCCAAGCACATGATGTGTGCAGTTGCTCAGTCGTGTCCAACTCTTCACGGCCCCATGGACTATATAGCCTGTCAGGGTTCTCTGCCCATGGAATTTTCCAGGCAAGAACAGTGGAGTGGTTTACCATTTCCTACTTCAGGGGATCTTTCTGACCCGGGGATTGAACCTGCATCTCTTGCGTCTCCTGCATTGGCAGGTGGATTCTTGACAAAGCCAGATCAAATAGATACATATGATTTCATTTCTATAAAACTCTAGAAAATGCAACCTAATCTCTATTGAGAGAAAGCAGACAAATGGCTACCTGGGGAAATGAGGGGCAGAGAGTAAGCACTGCAAAGGGGTACCCAATGCACAAGGAATCTTTTGGGGGTAATGGACAGGTTAATGACATTTTAACAATCATAGTTTCACATGTATAAACATATCAAAATGCATAAAATGTACATTCTAAACATGTCCTGCTAGTATTGTACGTCACTAATTCAACAGAGCTGTTTTTAAGACGGGCTTAAACCCAGTATTCCACAAGTCTTAAGAAACTGGTTCTCAGATGATGGCAAAAGAGAACTAGTTCCCTTCGGCTGATGCATCTCCTGCTGGTGATGGAGTGATTTCTCCCAGAAGTGGTGAACCTGCAATTTCTAGACAGGAATGGATATTATCTTGAATCTGTACAGGCAAAGTCACAGGTTTGCATTTCTTTATGGTGGTTAGGAAGGGCTGTACAGTTCAGGTCTACCTTTATCATAAATACAACCTTCAGAAAGCCCATTATTACTAGGGAATACCAAGTAGATTGAAAAAGAAAAGTAAAAGTTTGTAACCACAACTTCAAATAGTAACGCCTCCCGTGGCAGCTGCCTTTCCACTCAGTGCCAGTGCTCCCGGATCTGGGGCAGCTATCCACAAAGAAAGCCCCAGAAGGATAATATCTGAAGCTACTCAACTAGAAAAGTCATCCAACTGATTTTTCCTTCCAACAAAACACTAGACAGTTTCTCAACCTATCAGTCAAGTAACTGTCATAGGATGACGACTAAGAAGTTCAAGAAGAAAAAGTCTCCTCCAAGATGGATTCAGTGGGTTCTGCAACTTTCTCTCAATTCTTTTGGTACCGTTAACAACCCAACTAAGTACTTGTCTGTCTTCATTTTACACCAGCCTGAGGGCAGAGCCAGTCTCTGGGTCAACTCTGAACCCCCCAGGACCCAGCAAAGGGTGGACACACAACAGATTCTGAAAAACAGGATTGGGGCAGTCCAGAGTTCAGTAGCTAAAGAAAAAATAAGCTCCAAAGCAGCTCGTTATTCAGCTAACAATAAAAACAACACTAATAATTTTGACTCCCATTTAAGCTCTTGCTATGCTGCAGATTTCGCAGGCAGTGCTTCGGTCCTACTATGTTCTTTAAGCCTCCAACAACTCTCTGCAGTACCGTTCAATTCTTTTTCCAGGAAACTCAGGCTCACCCAGGTTTATTACTGGAAGTAAAATGTACAGTGGTTAAATAGTATTGCCGGGATATTCACCAGGACAGGCATCAAGCCGTTCCTTGACCACGCCTTTGGTTAAAAAGTAAGCGAGGTTTGGGGGCTGCCTGGCGGAGCTAATGCGAGTAACGGACGAGGAGGAAGTGCGGGAGCTGGGTATCAGAAATCCTGGGTGTCACTGCAGCCCAGGGAAAGATGAGCAACGTCAAGAGAGCCCTCAACTCCCGGGTGCCCTCGGGCGCTCCGGGAACCAGCGCAGAGGGATCCTGAAGAGGATCACAGGCGGTGTGACTGAGCACCCGGGAGGGCGCGGGGCCCTGGTCTCGGAGCCCGCGGAGGAAGGCCGATGCTGCGGCGTCCTCACCCCAACAGTGCAGCAGGGCCGGCACTCACCTGCAGCCGTCCTCCCGGGCCGCTGTCCAGAGACGCAGTGCCGGCTCGAGAGGCTGGGGCGGCCGCAGGGAGCCTGGAGGGGGCGGAGCCAGCTGGACCCGGGGCCCGCGCCCGCGCCAGGCTCAGGCAATCTAGCGCTCCCAATCAGATCCGCCTGCCGCCGGGAAGTGCAGCGTAGATTCCTTCGCTTCCGACCGGGCTCGCTGCTCCCGCGGAGCATGCGCCGTGGGCGCGCTCGAGCGGTGCGGCGTCCAGCCGCCGGCTCCAGGGCGGAGCGGATCACCAGCTCCACCCACAGGCCCCGCCGGCCGGATCTCATAGGCTGCGCGGGCTCCACCGCAGGAGCTCCTGCAGAGCCGCTAAGCTCCGCGCCTGAAGCAGAGAACGTGGGCTCTGTAGATGTAATTATATGCTACTTTTGAATTCCTCAGCGGTGTGCCTAAGGCAAGGCAATCTTGCTGTACATTTTATTTTTATTACTAAAATGCCTAGCATTAAGTGGGTAAAGAATTTGCCTGCAGTGCGGGAGAACTGTGTTCGATCCCTGGCTTGGGGAGACCCCCTGGAGCAGGAAATGGCAACCCACTCCAGTATTCTTGCCTGGAGAATTCCATGGACAGAGGAGCCTGGTGGGCTACAGTCCATGGGGTCACAAAGAGTCGGACATGACTGAGTGACTAATACTTTATACTAGGGGTATAGCAGCCAAATAAGAGCCTTCTTCTGCTTACATTCTAATGGGAAGAGACACCATAAATAAATATAAAAACGAAGTAGTGAAAAGTGCCATGATGAACAATAAAGGGATAATGAAGGTGGGTGCTGTTAAAGTAACCAGGAAAGTACCCTCTGATGACACTTCGAGCACAAACAAAAAGAAGGTGATTTTAAACCATGTGGATACTGGGAAGGAGCATTCTGAGATGAGAGGATAGCAAGTGCAAAGGTCCTGAGGCAGGAATATTCTTCAGTTCAGTCGCTGAGTCGTGTCCGACTCTTTGCGACCCCAAGAATCGCAGCACGCCAGGCCTCCCTGTCCATCATCAACTCCCGAAGCTTACTCAAACTCATGTCCATTGAGTCAGTGATGCCATCCATCCATCTCATCCTCTGTTGTCCCCTTCTCCTTCTGTCCCCAGTTCCTCCCAGCATCAGGGTCTTTTCCAATGAGTCAACGCTTCACATGAGGTGGCCAAAGTATTGGAGTTTCAGCTTCAGCATCAGTCCTTCCAATGAACACCCAAGACTTATCTCCTTTAGGATGGACTGGTTGGATCTCCTTGCAGTC